TGGAATTTTTCCAATAAAAAGCGTATATTACCAAAGCAAAATGCTTTTCAATATCAGACTCCATATGTCATTCCCTTGAGTATTACTTCATTACTTGAAAAAATTAAAATTGTCTATGTTTTGAAATATTKGTGTACCAATGAGCTGCTTCGAGTTGAGATAAAGAAAACTTGATTATCATGCATTATAACTTTTTCTGTGYAWATCTSYKRAGASCACTTCAGAGTGAGACTCAAACATTCTTGCATTGGCATGGCAATAACCAAATATTGTGGTTGACAAAACAATCCAATGCAAGGCTCTGGGKAAAAGATGTWATCATGATTATTTTTTGAGCCTCGACTCAAATTGTTTTTTGCTTGATCACTCAGAATATCAAAAGCTGGCTATTAATTTCCAACAGTGTTACAACGAGAGTTAATAAATCTGACATTCATCATCTTCGCTTTTCCCCACTCTGGTGTAGCCCTAGTAAGACTTGACAAATCATTCGTTATCATGATGTTGGATTCACAACAGCGCAGTTGTAGAAGAAGGGTTGTGTAGCTTCCTCTTGCGTTTCTTGTCCTCCACATTGCTTGCCTTGATTTTGCTTTTCAGCACGTTACTTTTCATCGTTTGAGAAGAMGACACTCTTGGTGGAGTAAAACCTGACCCAGGTGTTTTTAGAAACCGATTAGGAGTTCCTAAGAATCGAGAAGTCGCGTCTTTAACGCCTGGCTTCTTAGAAAGAACGCCCGATTTTCGACGGATTTTATTCCCTTTTTCTGAAGAACTTGACGAAGCCGAAGAGCTCTTGAACGTTTTATTCTTGTTCACAAAAAAACGTGACGTTGGGGTTTTGTTTTCTCTCCCTCTAGAGTGAAACAGCGATGACTTTGTTGGATTTGCCATCCTGTTTGAGTTGGCCAAAGCCTTTCTTTCTGCATTAGAAATACGCTTTTTTGTTTTGGTTTTGAGCGTCGATAGACAGTCATCGCTAGTTGACAGGTCGGTTTCGAAAGATGAGTTAAAGAGCATGGGCGTGGCTGGATCCTGAAAGAAGAGAAGGGAATTGTAAGAATTTTTGAATAACTACTGATGAAAAAATTTCGAGGAATTTGGGATTCTCTTTCAATGTCCTTGAAATTAGGAAAATTAARCTTACTTTTGGTCTGTTGACGCATTTATCTTTAATGCAGCCACATTCGTCGTCACACTCTGTTTTACCCTTTTTGCACTTGCAAGCCTGGGTCATACACTTTCCTTTACAGTTGCATCGSATTCCCTGAAACGAAGAGATCAGTCATTAAAAATAGCGATCTTACGTCATTGTGACTCTCAAATGGCTTCTGCTCTGAACMAATCAAAAAGCGCATAGTTGCATTCACGGTCTCCAGTCACAGTATTGGAATGCGGAAACTTACGGGCACACGGTGCAGCATTGCGCGCAATGTCACAKCCAAGCCGATGTTGCATGTCACACGACGCAATTTATTGCACGCATTTTTTTGAAGTAGAAAACGATCCTTCCTTAGGAAAGTTGACAACAATATAATGCGCGCAATATTGCACCTCGTGCCAACGCCTTTGTTGTTCTTATATGGCWCCCAAGCTAAAAGAAGTCTTTATTCTTATTATCATTTGTAAGTTAACAATCTTATGTGCTCTTTTAACTAAAACACAACTTCTCTCATGAGAAAGCCACCAAAATTATCAAGTTTAGATTAAAAAAAGCATCAAAAACATCAAAAACTCTTGCAGATTATCATCTCAAAAGCTTCTGTCATGACATAATGCCTTTTAAAGTTACTTAAGGCCCGTTTACACCAGCAGTTTTTGCTACTATTTGCACCGCAATTCAGTTTCCTACGAATCTAGCGGCGATCAAAAATTGATTATGTAAACCAGTCTCTACAGAGAAAAAGCCAATCTATTAAAGAAACTGAAAAAGTCTCGTAGAAAAAATACCTTGTAGTTATTGGGAACGTCTTTCGATCTCCACATGTTTTTCATGAGAGGAGTTTCCACCCAGTTTGGATCCTTGTATATGTCGTCTATATAGTCGTCTTCGCTTTCTTCAAGCTCGTCACTGATAAATACGACCTTCTCTTCAACATCTTCCACAATCATTTCCGAATTCTAAAGTATAAAATAGTTCTCAAAGATAAACCCAATTATTTGCGCTGTACAAATAAATAAGAATTAAGTCACTTACCTGTGATGTTTCCTTGATAGATGACGCCATATTTTGGACTGATGATTCGTTATCGTTTATTGCCTCGGTCAGTGTGAGGAGTTTCTGTAAGAAAGGTGCTACTTCAACATACATTTTTCCTGGATATAGAATAATAAATCGTTACCACTCCTCCCCTCCCACCTCTCGAACCCACCCCTCCCCCCCTCAATAACAATTCCCATAAATATCCAAAAATTAAAAAGAAATTAATGAACATATAAAACGTGAAAAGATGACAAACCTGTCGGAGAAGATCAGTTTCCTGTTGCTTCTCATTTAATTCTTTCTCCTTTTGAAATTAAATAAAAATCAATGATTAACCTCTTCGCTGAGTAATTAAAATAGCAATTACTCAGCGATTAATAAATTTGGTTAAGAGTGACGACACGAGGTCGACGAAACGTCCAATACATTTATTTCTGTTTCTTTTTAAATGAAAATTGAAGTTTTTCTCAGTCATTCGAAAAGCAAGACAGCCAGTTATAAAATCCAGACACACGATGCAAGTTGCTTGTGACGTTGCATTAACAAATAAAACTGTCGCTCCCTGCAGTGTCGCAGAGGTTGATGGATGGTGCGATGTTGCTTGTTGCACCTAAGGTAACACGCAAAGTGACATGGCATGCGTGCGCTATTCTTTTCCTCTATCTGTTTTTAGATAGAGGGTATTGTAACGTACTTTGAGTTTAATATTCTCGCGAAGACTTTCGAAATTTGCTTTCTCTTCTTCACTTGGTATTTGTTCGAGCAGCAACAGAACCTTGGAAAGAAAAGAAAAAGAAAAGATTGACTAGGATATCAACCTGTGAACTACATATCAATAGATCCCTTCACTGTTACCGGCGCCATCTTGAAAGGAAGCCGTGCCTTTCCATCGAAGCAAGACGAACGGTGAGCTTGCAATGACAGAGACCTTTTGTATCATTCCAAGCTCACCGTTCGTCTCGGTTCTATGCAAAGGCACGGCTTCCTTTCAAGATGGCGCTGAGAACTGTGAAGGGGACTATCATAAGCGCGCTTGTCATGTTTTCCTCCACGCATTTTGAACCGCGCTGTAAAAAGCAAATGTAGGAATATATTAACGGAAGCTGCAGTTGGCTGAGCAGAGTTTTAAAAGATATAACAGAAATGTCACTGAGCCAGGGAGAAAAATTACACAGTTCGTACATTCCTAGTTTCCTGGAGGTATTACCTGAACAGCTTCTTATGAATAAAGTGTAGTAAAGGCGCGCGTATATTAAGTGTAGTACCTTATCTTCATGTTCTTTCTGTATCGTAGTTACCCGTGCATCGTAATCCCTACGGAGAAAGTCCAGCTGCTCTTTGTGCTTTTTAGTCAAGCCCTGCGTTATCAAAAACCACATATATAAATCTCTTGAATAATCTAAAAAATATTATTCATTTTTCATAACTTACAGCTGACTCGTTGCGAAGTTCTTCTAATTCTTTCTTCTGTTCTTCGATGTCTTTTTCAATCTTGATTTGCTTGGCCTTTGCATTCACAGACTAGAGATTGATCCAGCAAAACAATAACAATTCAATATATTCAGGGCACTACTGAAAACCACGCTTAGTGAGTAGGTTTCCCTCATTAAAGATTATCAACACATTCCTGGGGGAAAAACGTGAGAAATACAACGAATGTTGCTTTATTGGGCTTGATGATCTTTACATGTTGGAAGACTTCTACTCTCTCCCTCACTGCATTTCTTTACTTTCTTTCTTCTTTTCTTTCCAATATTCCTCTTGGAATACACCGTACGCTAATTTTCCGCCCTGCGAACCCAAAGTCAATCTCGTTTCCACATTAGTCTGCGTTCCCTATGGTCAGCACCGTAGAAAGTGCGTCATCCTAGTCGAGCATGCGCAGCGTTAGCCTTGAGAATGCATTTTCTCGCAATTTTCTAGGCATGCACAGTAAGTTAATTTTTTATAACATTGTCGTGAAAACGTCAATGGTTCCTTACTTACCATCGATAACAATACTTGTAAGCCAGCTTTGGCCTCCGCCATAGTGTGGATATTGTTCCATCGATGTTTAGACTTTTCACTTGAAACTAATGGAGATGATTTAGTGTTAATCATTTGGATCGATAGTGCGTCCACTTGGAATACGATTCCGGGTAAAATGGATGGTGCGTAATGTGACTTACTGTGATTGTCAGCAGCTAGTAACTGTTGTTGTAATTCGGCAATATGTGAGGTCCTGAAATCGATCAGCCAAGCGAGTAATTAATGAAGGAATGGATTGTAATATAAACGATTGTAATGGAACGAATGAGTCAGATGAATAGAAGGAAGGAGGGAAAGAAAAGGATGGGGGAACGAGAGGGAATCGGATGCGAGGAAGGAAAGGACGCATGCATGAAATAGATGATTGCGATGGAAGAAATGAACAGCATGGACGGAACGATGAGAGAGGAAAAAATGGTAACGAGGCAGACAGATGGTAAGGAGAAAGAGTGACAGTTAGGAAGGAAAATATGTAAAACTCATACCTTTATATTCACTCTATATTCAACATATAACTCTAAATATAAAAAAAAGCTAATCCACTGTTTTCCCATTTTTAGTCCACGTGTCATTCCTTAGAGTATTATTTCTCTGTTTAACGGTTGAACACGAGAAGACACATAAATATGGATACGACTCAAACAAAGAATCTTATTCTCAAGGGAATGACACGTGGCCTGAAATGGCCAAAACATTACGCCCAATTGGATTTGGTCCATTCCTTACTTGATTTTCAGTTCCGCCTCCAGTGTCTTCAGCTTCATTTGTTGTTCATCACTTTCTGGTTTTCTGTCATCAGAATCCACACCACCAATCGATAATTTTTTCTGTAAAGAATTTTCGTCGTTAACAAGTCATTCATACTGCTTCTTTAAGAAGAGGGGATTCCAGTGTTGCGTGTCAAATTATCAAAAATTAATAAGATTGTGATATCGCATTTTTCTCTTTGGAAGAAAGTGTTTTCGAACAAAAAAGTGTGACTTTATCTGGTTTTATTGTCCAAAGGTGGTTTTATTACTTCCAGGTACGATGTTGCAGCTAGAGGAGTATTGAGACCCAATTAAAAGGCGAGAGTTTACTTTCGACCAATAAGAATGTGCAAAATCAGCACCGTCACGGCACGGAATTTAATGACGTCTGTTGAGCCAATGACAACCCAAGAGTTTATATTCGACCAATAAGAATGCTCAAAATCAGCACTGTGACTGTCGCGTAATGGAATTGATGACATCCGTTGAGCCAATCACAATGCAAGAGTTTATGTTCAACCTATCAGAATGCTCGGTTTCGGTATAGTCACGGTCACGTCACGCTCCCTACCATGTGTTTTACACCGAGTCACACAAGATTTGCTCTATTGATGATTCTACTCCTTACCTTTTTTGGTGGCTGTTCTTCGTCGTCTTGTATTTTCCCTCGCAGTTCAGATAACTGGTGAGAAATCGTCTTCCGGTCTTCAATCAGTTCTTCCAGGGTTTTCTTGGCCAGACTAACGCTGGCGAGAACCTCGATCTCGTGACCTAGCCATGACTGGAAAAGAAGTATTTGTGTAAATTTCTGAATGTAGCGCAGACAACACACACCAGCGGACAGACACACACCAGCTGACAGACACACACCAGCTGACAGACACACACCAGCTGACAGACACACACCAGCTGACAGACACANGACAGACACACACCAGCTGACAGACACACACCAGCTGACAGACACACACCAGCTGACAGACACACACCAGCTGACAGACACAAACAAGCTGACAGACACACCAGCGCAGGGACTATCGAATTCTTACGCACACACAGTCACTAATAACTAATAAGACACAAACAGGCGCGCACACAATAAAACTTGCAAAAAACTCAGACACAATCCACTGATGGTCGTATAGACAACCAAAATAAAGTGATGACGGACGCATCATAAAACAATTGTCGGACAGACAGACACTTATATAGTATAGACATCACAACAGACCCTTATAGTACCTTCATTCTGGGAATCAACCCTTCCGACTGCTTATTTTGTATATTTTGATAATTTTCTCTCTTGTCAGCTGCTTCTTTCCTTTTGCAGATTGCTTCATGGAGTCTTTTGTTTGCTAATGCAGCCTGGGTTACAAGCAACGAAAATGGTTAGTAAACTAAAACTGGGATCCCTGTGTCTTATCCTTTGTCTTTGCTGTGTCTGGTTCTGTTGTTGGCTGTTGCTGTCGTTGTCTTTCTAACCGTTGTTTCCCCTGCTGTTGTTGTCGTTGTTGGTAGCGTTTTAGTTGTTGTATTTTGTAGTTCTACAAGACAAAAGCTCAATTCTTCAACAGATTGAAAAAGCAGTAAATATTTCTTACCTCTTCCGTCTTTCTCTTCAAAACTGCTTGCTGTTTTTGATGAATGTTTTGTAGTTTGCTGTATTGGAACTGTCGCTTACGGTCCTAATAAAATAATTAAAAAAATAGTGACTGAGTGCTCAACTACAAGTAATCATCATTTGAAAGGAAAATATATCATTCTAGCTATTTGTATTGGTACACAAAAGCGAGTGCCGAGCTTACCTGTTGTTTTAATTGCATTATTTCTTTTTCTTTCTCTTTCTTCAGTATCCTGAATCTTTCAGATTCTTCCTTCATTTGTCTCATCAGCTTGACGCGAACTGATTTCATGCTCTATTAAAACACAAGAATATTCAATTTAACTTAAACATCGTCATGTGACTTGCGCGCAAAGAGCTGCGCTATGCGCGCAAATTCCTACAACCAAAGCTGCATATGTAGGATAAGAAAAATGCAGGGAACCCGCTAAATGTAATTCGTTCCACTAAAAAATCTTATTACCTGGATTTCAGTATTTAGTTTAGTAATCGTTGAATCACTCTGTTGCTTGAGGCGCTGAAGTTTCTGCATTTCGACCTGACGACAAACACCAAACAAATGAAAGATGACTTTAAAGTCCAACGACTGGGCGACTTAAGTAAAAAAAAATTACTACCTTAGAAGTGAAGGGGGAAACAAACCTGTTTCTTTTTTAGATCGACGATTTTTGTCTCCAGTTCCTTGATGCGAGATCTGTCTTTGGAACTCCTGGTTTGGTTTGAAAGCAAGAAACGTAAACCACATAGTACGAAACCTTCAGGGTGGGGGTCGGGGAGGGGGAAAGATGAACTGGTCGATCCCGCCTCTCCCAACCCCAGCGCCGGAGAGACGCTACGCAGGCTACATGATACATTGTGCATAATTATCATATTTGCGCATCTATGAAAATGTACAGTGTGGAGTGCACAGAAAACGTGAGGAATTAGAACATCGCTTTAAAGTAGTTTCGTTCAGTGAAGAAATATACACAGCGCGCTTGAATAAACTTTAATAAATCGAGCTCACCCTTCAGCATTAGTTGAGGATTTGACGGCAACAAGAGCCTGTGCGAGCTCAGATTTTTCTTTTTCGAGTTTACCGATTTCAGATTCCAGCTCACGTACGGTAGTCTAAAAGAGAGACAAAAATAACTCTTGTAAAAAGTATAGTACGCTGAAAAGTGAAGTTGTTTCATTTATTTTAAAGGGTAATTCTATCGGATATACCCGGCACCTAAAGCACCCTAGACGTAGACGCGTAGCCACCTTAAATTATAGCGCGCACAGAAAGGGATTAATAAGCAATTTACTCCTTTTAAAGGCCATGCAATGACAAAATTTCCATACCAGGACGGCTAATATCATAATTTCATGTGCATTTTGATTTGGGTCGTCATGTAACACTTTCTCCTCCACAAGTGCGTTGCGTGACAAACCGAAGAAATAAAAATGATGCTACTGACCTCGTACTGTTTAACCATCTTTTCATTCATGGCGCCCTCATTTTGCTGCATCTTCAAAGCCAATTCTTGTTTCATAGTCAGCGCTTTTGTCAGCTCTTGGACTTGGCGCCCAAGCTCTGCCTGACGCAGTGCATGCTGGGACTCAAATGTACTATTCATGGGGGAAGAGGGTAGGGAGTTATTGCTATTCTGGTCCACGTGTTCGACCTCGTAGCTGTGATCCTGAAAACAATTATTATGTTAAGAGAATTAAATATAAAATAATGGTTTTCTCCTTGGTAGTTATTTCTTTCTTTATCTTCAAGTACTTTACCTGTTTTAAGGATTCATTGCTATTGTTATGTTCTTCGGTTGTCGTGGTAGAAGTACACCTCTCCTACGAACGAAAAAGAGAAAGTCATAATATTAAATACAACAACATCAATAATTTCCGTTTTGTACTTCAAATACTACAATGTTTTGGACTTCATCATCCGATCTATTATATTTTTGTTACCTCAAAATCTTGGAATCTTTTCTGCAATTCTGTGGCTAAATCCATGTCTTGATCGCGGGCTAGTTTGTCGTCTTCTAGCGCAAGATCCAGCTTGATTCTAAACAAAATGGCAACAGAAAAGTCAAACTTATTATTGACTTTGGTTGTGGCTTAAGATTTTAACCTTATGGTATGGTATATCGTATAGTTTAATATTATAACTTACTCATGTTCATTGAGATATTTCTTGAGTTCCTCTTGTTTTCTCATCAGTTTGTCCCTGGCAAGCTCGGCCTGTTGGAGTAACGTGCTTGGATTTATCAGTTGTTTGAATTAAGCTAGGGAAACACGTTGCATCATTGCGCGCAATGTTGCATGCAATCGATGTTGCGATCCATATCACAAGTAGTATAGGGAATGGGGGTTCCAGCGCAATCTCAACACGGGCAAGACCCGTGGCAAAAATCCACCTACGGACAATCCCGTCTCCAAGTGTGATTGGGGGCAACAGCGCAAATATGTTAGTCTATATATGGAGTGCGAAGAATGTAAGAGAACTTTTAAGAAAGAAGCGGATTTGAAAAAGCATTTG